GGGGAAGGAAGAGGAGAAGTTGCAGGTGAAGGAAAACTGTTGAGAATGAAAACCTTTTCTGAAAACATTCACATTGAACTCTCCTTCTGCTTGCCATGTAAAATCAAATACAGAATGAGGATATCTTAGAGTATGATCAATTGAATAGTATTAGATTTAAGCAACATCAGCTTCCCATAAGTAGCTGCAACTTGCTACCCATCCCAGGCCAAAATATTTACAACAGGGTCACCCCAAACTGTGACACACACATCACTGCCAATATGGAAAAGGTGTGCAAGTGAAAGCTGTCCAGGCATCCCCTCCTAAATGGTAGGACACGGTAAAATATGTAGCACACCAACAAACATGAAAAGTTGCTCTGAGGCTCAAAAAGACTTGATTTGAAACTTTAAAAATACCCCAATACACTCTTGGGAGATAATTAGGCTTATTATCTGCCAGGAACAACCTTTTCCTGTAATCAGCACCAGCTTCAACAAATTGGAATTTGTTACCAAAAAAACATACCCTCCCAGTGTTGCACATACACCAGCAATGTTTTTATATAGCCTTGCGTAAAAATTACTTTCTTTTTGTTAAGAAAAAAGTATGTTGTGAAACAGAATGTGGTGAGTAGCACAACCACACAACATTTGTGTGTTGTTTCATGACATTGCCAGCTTCATGAGACAACCCCTGCTTATTCTCATCAGCTTCCAGATATGTTTTTGTCAGTTCATATTGGAATCAGAATTAAATTTATTACCACCAGCAAAAGAGAAATCACTGTCAGGAGACATAGTAACTGCTATTTTTTCAAGCCTCCACTCCCAAATCCATTAACATCCACCAACTTCAAGGATCTCTGGGTCAAGTCCACCATGAACAATCCTAGACAAAAATCCACAAAATGCCTTTATTTTTCATTAGAGTAAAAATTATCCAGTGACAATTTACCCACCATTTGAAACAGATAAAAGCATAATTAGATAAGACACAGAAACAGTTACACAGAGGACTCTGGGCTGGTACATGTTGCAGTTATTGCAGTTCATGTGAGTTTCACCCAGCTGGAGGAAGCGGCTGGCTGAAGTTGTAAGTGGTCTTAAATACTTTTCAAATGCTAGTAGATGCAATTCCATTTATGATACTCCAAGACAGAAGAAAATCTACATAATTATAAGCATCTGTCAGTTTTCTATTAGCAACATGTTCCTGCTGCTGGTTTTTCAAGCACCCCTAGTTCCTGGGCTGCTATTTTACTTGACAAAAATTCAGAAGAAGAAGGTTTTCAGGTTGGAGAAACCTTTACAAATGAACATATCTGGGTTAGAATGTGTCACCTGTAAGTGAGCTGTGTTGGTTAGTCTACAGAGCAATACCCTTCCTTTTTCATGTTTTCTAAAGTCATTCGTGCTTATTTTTCAACATACCATACTGCATAGATTTTGGGCCATGAATTAGTCCAGAAAATATTTTTCAGTAGTAGGTTACTATGGCCCTACAGTAACAGAGTCTTGAGTTGCCCTTTTAGACAGGTTGAGGACTCTGTTACTCTGGTGTTTGAACAAATGTATGGAGGTGTGTATGTTCAGTTTTGCCTAGGGTGCAGCATTTTCCACTTATTCCCACCACTTGAAGATTTTTAATCCTACCAAAACCAAAAAATAATTAACCCCCCCCTCCCCCCAACCTTCTGAAAGCAACACTGAACACAAGAAGGAAAACTATTATCTCCTGCATGCTGACTTTATATGGCCAGTTTATAAAGGAACAGCACATCTTAACTTACATCTTTTACTGTGCAATGTCAGATTACATATAAAGACCCGTTATCCTGTGAACA